AGGGGAAAATTTGAGGCAATTGGCGTTCCCGTTTTGGGAATTCAAAGCTATAGCTCGTTACCGGGATGAGCTAAGGTTTAGGGATGGAGGGAAAGGCCCTAGGGGAGATGGGAGAATGGAAAGGAATAGACGGGGGAAGAGTTGGCAAGAGCTGGGCACCGTAATTTTATTCAAGAGAATCTTTTCCAAGTTTTCCTTTTTTTCCCATGGAAAGCTGCCCACCTGATTGCCATCTGTGGCATCTCTGAGTTTAGTGGCTGGCTGGGGAAGACATCTCTGGGTTTAGTGGCCATCATTTTTCAATTGCCATCAGTTTTCAATGCTAATTTTGAGTAGCTTAATGCAGAGGCTAGTTTTTGATTAATAGCTTTTGATATAAATGACTTGCTACATTGCTTGCAAGTTGGTGAATTTTGTAAATGAAATAGTTGAGTCTAGGCAGTTAGAGGAGGGATCCGAATTGAGATCGATTCTCACTAAAGCCAAATTATCTTGATTTAACGGGAGATGAAATTTTTGGTGGGAATAGAGCCAAATCCAGTGCAGAAATTGTTTCCAAGAATTTTCCAAGAATTGCGCATAGTAACGGCTAAAACAGTGAGGCCGGCTCAGTCGCTCCCCTCGTTTTCCTTTTCGGAGTGCAAGAGGGAAGTGTCAGGGTCGCCATAGAGTCGCCATCATTTTTCAGAGCTCTTATATCAGAGCGGTTTGCAAGATGACGAGCGATTACATGAGCGCACAAAGAACATTTTGCATTGTAAATGGTACAAAAAAGATATTGAGGTGTAAATTTGTACCCAGGGGTTTTTGAGGACGGGGAATCGATTGGCGCTATTCATTATTGAGTTTACCAATAGAAAGTCGTGTTTAATTGGTAAGAACTTCAAAATTTTCGAATTCCTAAGTCTTTGCTTGTTGCTTTTCAAGTGTAATTTGTAAAATTTTGTAGTCAAATCACAAAATGTGATTGAAAATAGTGACAAGTAGGCGTAGTTGCTACTTTTTCCGACCACATTTCGTCTGTAACTTTAGTGACAAAATGTAAAATTTGATTGAAAATAGTAAAAATGATTGATAAAACAATTTACTTATAGTATATAAATAAAATTTCATCAAAAAAAAACTATAAAACTATGTTAAAAATTTGTTTTTAGTAGACTTCGGAAAACAAAACTTAACCAAAACCAAAACCACCAAAACCAAAACAGACCAAAACCAAAACCAAAACAAACCAAAACCAAAACCAAAACTCACCAAAACTCGCCAATATCTCGCGATTGGGAGGAGCTAGCGAAAATCTGTTTGCAGATTTGAAATCAGCGTCCAAAAATCTATCCCATAGGCCTATGGGATGCCATTTCATTTTTTGTTTCGAAATTTCGAGGTCGTGTTTTGGTCCTTTTTTCGGCCGCGAGATTTTGTGGAGTGAGAAAAAGTGAAAGGCAAATTTGCATTTTACAATTTTAAATTTACATGTTAATTTATATGCAAATTGAGTTTTAGTTTGTTTTGGTGTTTTGGTTTTGGTTTTGGTTTTGTTTGCCGAACTCTAGTATTTTAGTAATAGATCCACCTCAATTCTAGCATTTTTTCGAAACTAGAAGTAGCATTTCTTTTTTCTGTTTTCTTTTTTTTCTGTTAATAGTTGTGAGTGGTGAAAGTTTTTCTCTAATAGCTCGTCTCGTTTTGAAAGGATTTTCCCATGTGGAGTGGTTGACGGCGCGTTGAAAATCTTCAAACACACAACGAAACTCATTAGAAGAGTTGCAAAATCGAAAATAACCAGTCAGAGATTCTGGAGTTATTTCTGTATCAATCTAGACTTGCAAAATCGTTGATTGAGTTTTATATTCAATACTAGAAATGTTTCTTATTTGGATTTGAATTTGGATTTGCATTTGCATTTTGTCTTGCGTTCATTTGATTGCTGTACTTTTTCCGTCACTTCTCGACTTTAAAGGGGAGGGGAGGGTAATAATCTTGTAATGTTTATGTTTCGGTAATGTTTCGGTGGACGATTCCTTTGAATGGAGGTAGTTCTGAAATCTTTGAACTATTAGAACGCCGTATTCTTCTCTCTCTCTTTGTGGGTGGTTGACGGGCGTTGAAAATCTTCAAACACACACAAAACTCATTCGAAGAGTTGCAAAATCGAAAATAACCAGTCAGAGATTCTGGAGTTATTTCTGTATCAATCTAGACTTGCAAAATCGTTGATTGAGTTTTATATTCAATACTAGACATATTTCTTATTTGGATATTGATTTGAATTTACATTTGCATTTTGTCTTGCGTTCATTCGATTGCTGTACTTGCTCACTTCTCGACCTTAAAGGGAAGGGGAGGGTAATAATCTTTTAATGTTTATGTTTCGGTAATGTTTCGTTGGACGATTCCTTGTGAATGAAGGTAGTTCTGAAATCTTTGAACTATTAGAACTGCCGTATTCTTTTCATCTCTCTTTGTGCGGGGTAATAATCGTAGCCTATTCTCAGTAAAAGAATTTTTTCGAGAAAATTAATTTATTTCGTGTTTATTTGTTAGATTTATTGCTAGAAATTATAAAAATGAATTGACAAAATGAATTTGAATCCCGAAAATTCTTGAACTTTCATCAGAGATCGGCAGACACCAAAATTAACACATAAATAGGAAATAAAATTAACAAAACAAGCAGAAAAAAGATAATGAATAATTTAAATTCTTTACTATAACGATAGATCAAAAAATGACTCACCCTTCTGAATCAACATCACTCAAGTTCAGAAATCTCTCCTAATTTCTCACTCATTGCTTCTACTTGATCATCTCGATCAAGTAGAAGCACCTGGAAATCCACTAGTAGATGATTTTCATCATCTACTAGTGGATTTTCCTGGTCCGTCGTTCTTTTTTATAACCTCATTCACTAGTTTTTTCTCTTCCATCCCTCATCAAATGGATGTAAAAACCTAAAAATTATGCTATGAGGCTATTTTGAGTTTATCATCTCATTCTTCACCTGTAGCCTGGGCAAGCCTTGATCCTGTCAACCCAACTACAGCAGTTCAACGAAAATCTATATTCAATTGAAGATCTCAATGCCTATCTCCTGATGGACATCCTATCAACCCTGATACAACAGTTCAACTAGTTCAAAACCCAAAAGATTCAAGCCGTCTCTTTTATGAGTTGGGACTGGGAATACAAAACATCGATGTCGGTCTGAACCTGTCGCCTATCGGGCAAATGCCCTGCCACTGAGCGACATATATCCTATTGCCGACAGGATAGGATCTTATGCCTTACTATAGCTATTCTATTGAAGTCATCTCAAGTTATCATCTCCTATCTCAAGTCATCTCCTCGCTCGATACCCTGCCTTTAATCTTACAAGATCACTACTCCACCTATAGCCAACCCAATGAGAGGATCCTCTCCAAACCGTCTACCATCTCATTCGTCGGCTTTTTCCTCACTTCTTTTCTCTTATCATCGAAAAAGAGTCCTCCATTTTGGGTGTTGTCCCCAGGGGCGTTGAGGGGTCTCCTCCTTTCCATCCTCCTTTCAATCCTCCTCGCGGTCTAAAGACTTTTCTTCGAGCTTCTTTCCATTTCCCCGTCCATATAGAGGATATGAAAAGGGGAACACCCTATCTTTCTTCCAGATTTCCAGTTATCTTTGTCTTTTTCCTTTCTTTTCTCTTCACTTTGGTCATTCTTCACTTTTTCTCAAGCTATTCACCCGTCCCTTTTTTTCTCCTACATGAATTCTAGCTTCTTCTAGCTTTGCCGAAAAGAAAAGTTGACATTTATAAGTTTTTGCTTGGCTATTGTTGAGAGTTTTCTTTTGGTTTTTACTTAAACTTTATCTAAAAAATTAGATTGAAAAAAAAGATTCGAAACTTTGTTCGATTGAAAATTAGTGAATTTTACCTTAGAAAGCAATGATGTTACCATTTTTGAGTATAAAATGTCTTCTGAAAATGAGAATCTTTGCTATTTTCACGTTTTTCCTTGTTGTTTATCCATTTGTAATGCCAAGAATTCGAATGCCAAGAATTCGAGTAATGCCAAGAGTAATGCCAAGAGTAATGCCAAGAGTAATGCCAAGAGTAATGCCAAGAGTAATGCCAAGAGTAATGCCAAGAGTAATGCCAAGAGTAATGCCAAGAATTCGAATTATAGAAGAATCTTCTAAAAAAAGTTGGTTAGTCATAAATTTTTGAAGAGATTTTCGCTTTTGGGAAGATTTCGTAAACGTCTGTATTGTATAAAAGCATTGAAAATCGATTTTAATTCGTTATTCTATCAAATTTTCGGCTTTAATGGTGTGGAGACTGTGTGAAAGAGCGAAGAAAGCTATGAAAACTATTTTTTTGACCTAACTGAACGATTTCATAAAGCCAATTCATTTTACAGAACTCAAAGAGTTTCTTTTAAAGCCAATTCATTTTACAGAACTCAAAGAGAGTTTCACCACCCGTTCCTTTCCAAACCATCTGTTCTATACACATAAAGATTGCTTTAAAAGTAAAAAAAAAAAACTGAATATAACGAGCCTTTCGAATGGGTTTCATCTGGCCGAAAATCTCATTTCCGTTCTTTTTCCCATTCCAATAACCAATAACCGAACAAATGAACCCACCAAAAAAGCAAAAAAGCTACTTTCTTTTCTTTTTTTTAGAGAGATTTGATTGTTTTTACAAATAAATGAACATTTTTTTATAGTTTTATATAGTTTTATATTGTTTTTTATAGTTTTCCCATGATCATTTACGTTTTTTTTTGATGATTTTGATGTTCTTTAGGTTGTTAAATCATTGTTCTTGCATTTTCTAAGATTCATTTATACTTATCGAATGTGTAACTGTTTGGCAAATTGTATTCTTTTTACTTTATTTAAAGCTACTCGACGATTATAGATTGATTTGACTTCTGAAGATTGGTGGTTTCGGAAGAGTGGATTGTGAAAAGAGAGCAGCACGGTGAGATCAGGTGGCAAGAATTCCCGATGACCGCATGCGGGTGAGTGGAATGACTCGATTATATGGCAAAAACAATAAACAAGCACAACCCCTAAGCCCTAAATGTAGGGAAGAAAAAAAATCTACCGTAAATACTGTAATAGTCCCGCACCCCCATAATGACGGTGCGGAGTGTTGCGTAGTCTAGCTTTGAGCTAGTTTTTCTCGAATCTGGTTTATGCTATAATGCGCGCTTAGGTATCAAAAAATAGCTGAAATTCAGGGCTATTTTTTGATATCAAAGACGCATTTTTTGAAAGTACGGGTGCTTTGAAAAAAGATGAAATACTAAAAAACTTTTGCGACTACGCGACTGTACGAGGGGGGCGGGGTACTATTACGGTATTTACGGTATGTATATGGGAAAAAAGAACCAATGATCTTAGCCTGAGGGATTGAACCCCTGACCTCCCGACTAAGATACAGGGCTATTAGTCAGTCAGCCCTGGCGTTCTATTGAGAAAAAGGGTTGTGAGAAAAGGTATAAACGCGTGGTCTATTGAATAACAACCAAAATTCAACGCCAGCTAATACAAACTAGGCCAGGCCAGAGCTTCACAGAGGTCAGAGCTGCCGGTCAGACGCTAGCCTATTTTTTGGCCCAACAACTTCTGTACGCGTCAGAAGCCTAGAGATATTGCCTTTAAAACAGACCTAGTAATATCAGTTAAAAAAGCAAGGCTTAACACTGTACTTAGTTTTCCAGGCTCTATGGCTGGCCTGGCTTTTCGTCGTCGCCACCCCCTCCTACCACGAAAGAAGACTTTATGAGGTTGGAAGAATGAATTTCTTTTTAAAAATTGACTCTTTATTTGTACTACTTTCAGTACTTGAATGGGTTTTTCGAAAGAGAATCACAAAATGATAAGAATTTTAGGAACTCATGCGTGACTACAACGTCTTGGAGCGTCCGGTTGAAAATCACAAACAGGCCGTTTCCGTTAAACTCAAGGTCAGTGAATTTGTAAATGGAAAAATGATCTAAATAATGATTTCAGGTTTCTCTTCAACAGATTATAGATGTTGATGAGAAAAATCAGGTCGTCAATGTCAACGCCTGGCTCGATTATGTGAGTGCTTTTCGAGTTTGAGAATGCGGTAGACATGGGCACTACAAACGACAAATGTAAACTATAAACGCTTCTAACTTTCTTCAAATCTACTGGATTAACATGATCTATAGCTCAAAAGATAGAGAACCTTAAGAGCTTTCGAATGAATTGAAGCACACAAAAGATATGAATTCTAAAGAAAGTTACAGTGGTTAGTCTGACTCGATTGCTTCGACGAAGATGGTCTGTTTCAAATTGCTATAACTTTCCTTAGGATTGATATTTTCAGGTGTACTTTAATCCATTCGAATGCTCTCGAGATTCTCTATCTTTTGAGCTATAGCTCTTATCAATCCAGTAGATTTGAAGCAATTTAGAAGTGTTTGTATTTTGATAGTTCGTTTTTGTAGTTTATAGTGCTCAGGTCTAGTCTGCAGTAATGTCAGGGTCAGATGATCCGATTTTTGGATACTTTTGGATACGAAAAGTATAACTATTCTTTCTGTAAACTTTTTTGACCTGATTATTTCAGACCTGGTTCGACTACAAGCTTGTGTGGGACATCAAAGAATATGGAAACATCACGGACGTTCGTTTCCCGGCCGGTCGCATCTGGAAACCTGATGTTCTTTTATATAATAGGTAATATCATGTTATAATCAGCCGAGAAACCCGCCTAACGGTTGGGTTTTCGCGATGTCTTGGGGATGGGTGGGTTTTGTCGTCGTGGAGCAGTGGATAGTGCGCCGGTCTATCGCCCATACGATCCGGGTTCGATCTCCCCGTGCGACTCGAATTGTGCTTTTTAAAAACATTCAAAAGCACGTTGCACAACTACATGTAATTCCCTATTCAACGGCATAAAAATCATTGCAAACGGTCCTCTGGGGGCCGAAGAGCGCACAGACACAGCGCGCACAGACAGACAGACACACACACAGACAGACAGACACACACACACACAGACAGACAGACAGACACACAGACAGACACAGACACACACACAGACAGGCAGACACACAGGCATACACACACAGACAGACAGGCAGACACACAGACAGACACACAGACAGACAGACACAGACACACAGCCCACACAGACAGACACAGACACACAGAAACACACACACAGACGCCAGACAGACACAGACACACAGACAGACAGACGTCATAATCCCTTTATATATCCCCGATAAGATTATCCACGTTTTAGAGTAGTTTTTCAAAGATCAATTCTCATTTTTTTTCCATTTTAGCTTCGCAAGCGAGGATAGGTAAATGAAAAAAAAGAGCATTTTACTTGATTTTTTGATTTGAGATTGTCCTCGTTTTGAGCAAAAAAATAATTAAAAACTGACAAAATTTCTAACAAATTCTAAAACGAGGATAATCTTTCCCTGTTCCCGTTTAAATTTTTTTGAGTTTTAGAAACCCGTAACTTTTAAATGAAGTTAAAAAAAAAACGAATTTTATTATATGTAAATTTCAGTGTTGATTCAAATTTCGACTCTGCTTATCCGACAAATATGCTGGTAAATTCGATGAAATAAAATAATCATTTTAACTGAATATTCTTTTTAGGTTTACAATACGGGTAAAATTTCATGGGTTCCGCCGGGAATTTTCAAGATTTCTTGTAAGGTGAATGAGAAAAACGAGTCGTTTTTTTTGCACAAAAATCACTTTCAGATTGATATTAAATGGTTTCCCTTTGATGAACAAGTTTGCTTTCTAAAGGTCAGTTTCAACACTTTTAGGGCTTAGAAATTAGCATAATGGAGCTGAATTTAAACCGAAATTGTTCTAAATCCCTTTACCAAATGAAAGTCGTGCTTAATTTGTGTAAACTTTTAACGAAACTCGGAAACATTAGCCTATTAAGAGGAGAGGGGATTTATTGCTTTCAAATTTACGAAATTCATTACTAAAAATTTGGGGTTTCAGTGAGAATCGATTTCAAATTAGAACTAGAATTTGTTTTGTTGGTTTTGTTGAGATCAAAACTATACCCGGAAACAAGTCTAGTACTTGTAAAGAGCAAGTGAGAATCGATTCAAATTAGAATTAGAATCTTTGATCACTTTTTACCGTTCAGTAACTAAGCACTCTAACTTTCTTTAGAATTAAAATTTTTGAGTGTGCTTCAATTCATTCGAAAGCTCTTAAGGTTCTCTATCTTTTGAGCTATCCGAGTTACAGTGGTTAGGCTGACACGCTTCTAACTTGCTTCAAATCTGCCGCATTGATAAGAGCTATAGCTCAAAAGTTAGAGAATCTCAAGAGCTCTCAAAAGATATTGATTCTAAAGAAAGTTACAGTGGTTAGGCTGACTCGATTGCTTCGACGAGGATCGTCTGTGTCAAACCGTTATAACTTTCCTTAGGATTGATATTTTCAGGTGTACTTTAATCCATTCGAAAGCTCTTGAGATTCTCTATCTTTTGAGCTATCCGACAACTAAGCATTCAGCATTCAATTTTCAGTTTGGCTCATGGACATACGATGGAGACAAATTGGATCTCCAGCCGGCTGAAGGCGGTTTCGACATTTCGGAGTATCTCGAGAACGGTGAATGGGCATTGCCATGTCAGTTTTTATTATATATTTTTATTATCACTCACGTTTATTCATCCAAATAATATCGTAAAAGCAAAAGCAAAATTCGAAATGTAGGAAAGGCTAATGATGAAGCCTTTGGGATTGAGCCCTTGACCTCCCGGCTAAGATACGAGTTGGCCATGAAGTCGGACACAAGAGAAAACAGAAATTAAGGCTTTTAGTGACGACTGTGTCACGAAATGTGAAACGCTACGATTGTTGCGATGAGCCGTATCTTGATCTCACCTTTTATTTGCATTTACGACGAAGAACACTTTATTATGGTTTGTTTATGAATAGAAAATGAAAATTGAGCAAAATTGAGCAAAAATTGAGCAAAAATCGAGCAAAATTGATTAAAATTGATCAAAATTCAGGCTTCAACTTGATCATGCCATGCATTTTGACGACAATGATGACGCTACTCGGTTTCACGCTTCCACCCGATGCTGGGGAGAAGATTACATTGCGTGAGTTGATTTGAGAACCGTATTTAGTCAATTTTGGTGCTTAAAAAGCTTAAACCCACCTTTCCTAGTGCACTGCTTTCCCTAGCTGTGAGAAGATTTGCAGAAATGAGTGTGTCAGGAGAGGAGATTCATTGCTTTCAAATTTACGAAATTCATTACTGAAAATTTGGGGTTTCAGTGAGAATCGATTCAAATTAGAATTAGAATTTGTTTTGTTGGTTTTGTTGAGATGAAAACTATACCCGGAAACAAGTCTAGTACTTGTAAAGAGCAATTTTCGATTCAAAAATACAGCAATTGATAATCGGCAAAATTTTCAGAGATCACCGTCTTGTTGTCGATCATTTTCTTCTTGTCGATTGTCTCCGATTTGTCTCCACCAACATCGGAAGCCGTTCCATTGATAGGTTTATCGAATTTCTCTCAATTTTCTGCTATTTTTGATCAATTTCACCATTTACAGGGATTTTTTTCACGTGTTGTATGATTGTGGTGACAGCATCGACGGTTTTCACCGTTTATGTGCTCAACTTGCACTATAGAACCTCGGAAACCCACGAGATGGGAAATGTGGTCGGTTTAAAAAAACTAAAGCATCAAGAGTTTATAGTTAATTTTAAAAAAAAGCTTTCAAGTTATTAGGCTTATTTTCGAATTTCCATTCTGGGAAAGGGGAAGGGAAAGCACTGAGTTAAGCTGACCTTTTGACTCGAGAACAAGTCTATTTTATAGTGTCGGTCATGGGGATCTTGAATCCGTTTTTAATTTTTGCAGAACGCTTCACAAAGGCGAGATATTTAGAGTAGAAAATCTTGAAAACGCGAAAAAAAATTTGAAGATAATGGGACTCGAACTTTGGAGTAAAGAAAGCAATGGGTTCGGGAGTCTAGCAGACTATCCACTAGACTATAGAAGCTGATTGCAGTGTGACAGCCTCATAACGAGCCTAGCAGACGATCCACTAGACCATAGAAGCTGATTGTAGTGTGACAGCCTCATAACGAGCTCGATGATGATCTAGGTTTACCTTTTGCAGACAAGAGCCGTATTTCTCTATTGGCTTCCGTGGATATTGCGAATGAATCGTCCCGGCTATGATTTCAGCTGGTCCAAGCTGCCGCCGATTTGGCGAAAAACGCGTGGCCCTCACTCAGAGTCGTTGCTCAGAAATGTCAAGGAGGCAACAAGTATCTCAAGGTGAGCCGCAAATCGAAATTGATATTTGAAGCACAATCAGTTTATAAAGTACATTTTCTTGCTAAACAGATCGAATTCCCTGGATGTGGAGAGAACGATCGTCAAAGTCCTGCATCCAACTCAATCGCAGCACTCGCTCAACAACGGTCACGGTCCTTTCCCTCAGCAAATGCCCATCTCACAACTATCGCAGGTATTAAATCAATCTTTCAAATCAAAGACAAATCAAATTTAGCATTAAAATTTTACCAAAATAACATTAAAAGATTAAAATATCAGCTTAAACTGTACTAGACTGTACTAGAATTGTTTAGTCACCTCCACCCGTTGATGTCGGTCAACAAGCAACGCTCCTTGTACTACATCGTATCTACAATGAGTTAAAGGTTCGGATTATATTAACAAATTCGCGACAATGATAACGACAATGTGTTTTGATCTCTGAGACTAGAACGATTTTACCAGATCAACACAAAAAAATTGTTCTCGTGAAATCCGAATCCATCGTTAATTATCAACTACCAAGCCAGTCAAAAACTTGGGTAATTAAACTGAAATGGATCATAAAAAGAGCCAAACCAAGTCCTGTACCCAAAAGCCATGTGCCAAAAGCCGCGCGACTACGTAAACATGAAAATTTTCATTGTTTTAAACGCGCGCAGCACATGGCGCAAATTTTCCAGAATAACTGAGTTTTTTTTTCACAAAAAAGCATTAATAACTTTGTTATTTTTCAACATTTTTGCGATCTCTTTTTATTAGAAAAGATGGTAGGGTATCTTTTGACAACAAAATTATTAAAATCAGTCAAGAGGATGTTTCTTTAATGTCGAAGTTGAGGGCACCTCAAAATGGACGAAATGCAGACTTCTATTTCAAATATTTCAAGCTACTATAGCTAGAGACTAATACCGAATTCGGATTTCGCATCCCCGAAAACCCCTGTCTGCAAATTTTTAGCTTAATCCCTCCACAAATTATGTTAATTTCAAGTGGGGCCCATTGTGTTAACAAATCTATTATTTCTAGATACCTTGGATATATAGAGATAATAGATTTGTTATATATCTCTATATATATCTACTATATATAAAGGGACTAAGACGTCTGTCTAGCCGTCTGTGCGCGCTGTCCGTCTGTGCGCGCTGTCCGTCTGTGCGCGCTGTCCGTCTGTGCGCCCGTCTGGGCGCTGTCCGTCTGCGCGCTGTCCGTCTGTGCGCGCTGTCCGTCTGCGCGCTGTCCTCTGTGCGCGTGTCCGTCTGTGCGCGTGTCCTCTGTGCGCGCTGTCCGTCTGGCGCTGTCCGTCTGTGCGCGCTGTCCTCTTGCGCTGTCCGTCTGTGCGCGCCCGCCGCGTCCGTCTGTGCCGTCCTCTTGCGCGCTGTCCTCTTGCGCTTCCTCTTGCGCTGTCCTCTTGCGCTGTCCTCTGTGCGCGCGTCCGTCTGTCGCGCTGTCCTCTGTGCGCTGTCCGTTGCGCGTGTCCGTCTGTGCGCTCCTCAGCCCCCAGAGGACCGTTTGCAATGATTTTTGTGCCGTTGAATAGGGAATCACATGTAGTTGTGCAATGTGCTTTTGGATTTTTTAAAAATTGAATTCGAGTCGCACGGGGAGGTCAAACCTGGATCGTATGGGCGATAGACCGTCGCGCTATCCACTGCTCCACGGCAACAAAACCCATCGGTCCCCAAAACATCCAGAAAAACCAGCCGTTAGGCGGGCTATCTCTATATCTCTATATTTGTTATATATCTATATATATATATATCTAGAAAAAAAAGCTTAGATCGTCACAAAACGCATGGTGGAAAACGATCGCGAGGAGACAGCGGCAAACAATTGGAAATTCGCGGCAATGGTGAGAAAATCTCGTTTAAACTATTGTAAACTGATAGAGAGTAGCAAAACTACTGGATATCGTTTAAAAAAAAGCTTACAGTACCTAAAGTAGATTATAAATTGAGGTGGTCGACCGACTGTGTATCTATTTGTTCACTTTCTTCCTCGCCGCCTCCACAATCGGGATCTTTTGGTCGGCTCCCTACCTCGTTGCATAGATTTTCTAGGATTTTTTTGTCTAAAGTGATACTTCAAAGATTTATGTAAAGCAGTTCAGGGTTTGGTCACTTTAAAGTAAAGGTAAAGGTACTTAATAGGCATTGGATTGGCCTTGCATTGGCCTTGCATTCAATAGTACAGTCATGGAGAAAAGTCTTTTAACGTTGGTTTTTAGAAGTTTGTTCTTTGTATATCTTGGGCCAAATCCGACCAATTTGCAAACGGTTAAAAGATTTAAATTTAAAGAGATTTAAAGAGCTTATTATCTCTAATTTTAACATTACAAAAAGATGGATTTGACAATTTATCAGGTGTCATGAACTTTTTAATAAAACAAAAATTGAGCCAAAAATTGATGGACAAAAGTCTTTTAACATCACAGTTTTTTCGAAGAAATTTCTTCTTTTTCTGTCTTTTTCCTTTTGATTTCTGGTTACTAACTGTAATTTTTTAGATGCCCGACGCCTATTTATCAACTTCTGACAAAGATAAAATTGTCGAAGCTCGAAAAAATGAAAAAGCCGTCGCTGAGCTCTTCCGCTGTACCGAAACAAGTGTATCGCTTGTTGTCTTCAGGGTCAAACTCACGGGGAACGTTCATCGTGCATCAAAAAGTGGACGTCCACCAGTTACAACTTTACGAGAAGGCAATGCGCTCGCTCTGGCCCAAGATATACAAAGAACAAACTTCTAAAAACCAACATTAAAAGACTTTTCTCCATGACTGTACTATTGATTCAATGCAAGGCCAATCCAATGCCTATTAAGTACCTTTACCTTTACTTTAAAGTGACCAAACCCTGAATTGGGTTTGGTCACTTTAAAGTAAAGGTACTTAATAGGCATTGGATCACAAAAAGCTGTAGTTCAAACTGTAGCTACTATCAGAAAAGCTTCAATCTTTCATCTTCAAATAAATCGAAAACAGAGACAAACTTTATTGAGACAAAAAAACTGAAACTTTACTAAATCTGGTGTCAAATTTTAGGAAAAGAACGCATCTTTGCATCATTTTTTTGTCTTTTGGACATTCGTCTTTCATTTCTATGCCAATTCTTTTTATTTCAAATCATTTTTCGAACATTTCATTTCGGCGATGTGATTTCTTATTCGAATATCGAGCTTTTCTGTGGAGATTTTTAGTGTTTTTGTTTTTTGGAGCACAAGGATTCTGGTGTTCCATGAAAACTAGAAAACTAAAATTGTTTACCGTATTCTCTCTAATAGTAGTGCACCCCGGCGAACCGAGTTGATGACTATTTTACAGCTTTCGAAGTTTTCGCAGAAGCTCAACACTCAAATCCCCCCACTAGCTCTCATCGTCAGCTACATTTTCCGACCCCAAATCGATAGGTTCTGATAAGCGCTTTTCGAGATTTCGAGCAATTTAGGCAAACCTTAAGGTGCCTGCTCTAATAGTGCACCCTGCCGAGTTGGTGACTATTTTACAGCTTTCTAAGTTTTCGCAGAAGCTCAACACTCAAATCCCCCCACTAGCTCTCATCGTCAGCTACATTTTCCGGCCCCACATCGATAGGTTCTGATAAACGCTTTTCGAGATTTCGAGGAATTTAGGCGACGCTCTGGGTGCACTACTATTAGAGAGAATACGGTAAATCATCAAGAAGTTTTAATTTTGTACTTTTTCAATGTTCACATCATTTCACAGCTCTCCCGGCTTGATATTTTCTTTTTTCTTCTCGCTTACCGTCTCTACATTCATATCAATTTTTGGCTTTAATGGATAAAATTTGAAAACTAAAAAGACAAAAAAACTATTTCAAGTTTTTATTTTTATTTTCATGAGAACTGAAGACAAAAAAAGTGATGTCATTATGCTAGGTGTGAGGAGATAGAAAGTAAAATCGGCTAAGTATAATAAAGAAAGAAAAAGAATGTACAAGCTAGGCGGACAAAAAAAAACGAAAAATGAAACAAGGGAAGATCAATTGGCTGAGCCGGCTAAATGCTATGCGACCTATACGATTCAACGCAGAATTTTCTGCTGCTTGCGAATATGTGTTCCGTTTTTCGTAGATGACAACCTGCCAGGAGTTCTAAGCGTCAAAAGTTTTGTTAGGACTCTGAAAGTATGTTGATTTGAATCTTAGCGGCCTAGTTGCGGATCGAATTCTTTTCCTTTTTTTCAAGAAGTGTTGACTAGTGTTTTTTGTGCGGAAGAGTTCGCATAGCATTTTGTCGACTCAGTCAGTTGACCTTTCCTTGGAAAGTTTTAAAATTACATCAAAAATTTCGAAATACTATGAAATTACAGTATCTTGTCTTGTCACTGTATGCTGGAAAAGTGTAGAAAACTGTATTAGTAAATATTCAGCTACTGCAGAAAGATTCGATACTGAAATCTTACAGTACTTTAACGAGAAACGAGTTTAGAAAGTAGACAGCTAAGAGATACGGTAACCCACTTTAATAAGGTTTAAATTGAAGGTTTAAATTGTAAAAGGTTGACAAGTTTCGAAGTAAAATTATGCAAAAAAAAGGTTTAAGTGAGCGCTAAAATTGGGTGAAATGAAAGCTATAGACAATTTAAAAAAAAACAAAAATCAAGGTGATCCATTTAAAGACTGATCGAGGAAATCTTGTTTCATGGTGCCTGGCGGAAGGGGCATATCGAAAATGATCGGATCGTAGCACGTGCGCAACTTGTGATCACAGATTGAGGCGTTGATGAAAGTGGTCGAGCCGTTCGTCGTGGCGCCGTGTTGTTGATGCACGTGGCCGAAGACATGGTATCTGAAATGGTCAATGATTACTAGACATGGGAAAATGGGAAAATTTCCAAGCCCAACCTAATTCCACCTTCGTTTTCTCGGCCATTTTTTGGCTGATTGCTCTGAAATTTTGTCTACAAGCTGAAAATGACGATTTCTATCTGTAGACAAAGTTTCAGAGGAATCGGCCAAGAAAACGAAGGTGGAATTGGTTTGGGTTGAAATTTTCCCATGTCTAGTGATTACTAGCGATTGTCGGTCATTCGGGAAACATAAAAAGGGATAGTTAATTTGGGGCAAACACCAACTTTGGCTTCACACGTTGCTCAACGGTGCTCAGCAGCTCGACATTACACTATTACAGTACCAGGACAGACTATTACAGTACCGTAAATACTGTAATAGTACTCCACCGCCCTCGTACAGTCGCGTAGTCGCAAAAGTTTTTTAGTATTTCATTTTTTTCAAAGCGCCCGTACTTTCAAAAAATGCGTCTTTGGTATCAAAAAATAGCTGAAATTCAGGGCTATTTTTTGATACCTAAGCGCGCATTGTAGCATAAACCAGTGTCGAGAAAAACTCGTTCAAAGCTAGACTACGCAACACTCCGCACCGTCATTATGGGGGTGGGGTCCGATTACAGTATTTACGGTAGCTAATTTGGGGCAAACACCAACTTTGGCTTCACACGTTGCTCAACGGTGTTCAGCAGCTCGACGTCACCGGCCAAGATTCCGTCCATCTTGTTCCACGCATTGAAGTCACCATGACCTAGAAATAATGGTACTTATCTAACTTATATAATTTCGAAATGTCAGTCTCTCAGTTGAAATGTTGGAGCTCTAGCGGGTGCAAAAGTGAGTTTTTCGAGGAGTGGCCAAAATGTGCACCCCGTGAAATACGTACTCCCGAAATATGCACCCCGGAATATGCACCTGCGTGGTGTGAAATGGCTGAGTGCTTAGCGCGCTCGGACCAAGGACCAGAGGTCAAGGATTCGAATCCGCCTCCGGTCAAACATTTTGCTTTTTTTTTACCAAAAGCTCAATTATAATAGAAATAACCTTTTAAGCAAAAAGGAGTGCCCCCAACTTTGCGCCGGACTCAACTATGCGCCCTTTCCCCAAACCACGAGCTCTTTAGTCATAATTATGACAAAATTTTGAATCGAATTTCCTTACCCAATGGAGGCGAGTGCGTGATGAGAACATCGACGCCATTTGGTATTTGATTCCATTTGTGCAAGATCTTTTGTCCCCTTGGTCGGAAAAACGAGTAACCGGGCATCGAGTGCCACGGGGCGCCGTAGATCCTCAAGCCGAAGAGCTGAATAAGGAGCACAGTTTTCAGAGAAATTCAAGGATTGTAAGCAAGGATTCTCAAGAGTCAAGCCTTCAGTTTAGTTCGTTTACATACACTAATGGACAATGAAATATCATATTTGAAAAACGATCGTCACTTTCGCGCCTCTGTAACTCCCTTGTCTTTATCGTATTTCTAGATATTAATATTACCATTGTGTAGCCCTTGAAAAGAGCTTTCAGAAAATGTCTAACACTAATCGTTTAAACTCAAAGAGAAGGGAGTTACAGACGCGCGAAAGTGACGATCGTTTTTCAAATATGATATTTCATTGTCCGGTACTGTATGTAACAAGATTTTACCTTCGTTTCCCGATCGCACAAATAGATACAATTTGATAGCAACTCGTAGGCTTTTGTGATTCCGAGCATGTTCAAACCAGCTAATTGCTTTTCGTTCATCTCCTGTTCAAAGAAAGCAATGTTTAGCCGTGAATTCTCAATTTTTTCTCACCTCTCCATCCTCGAATCCGAGCTCATGATTCCCCGCTATGACCACTTTGTATTTGTGAGGGAGTTTGCCTAGAAAATTGTCTTTTTAATGTTAAATCTTGGTTTTTGTCCAATTTTTGTCCAAACTCACCAATTTCGGCGTTGAATTTGATCACCTCGCCAACATCGCCGTAATTTGTGAAATCGCCCGCATGAATTAGTACATCTCCGTCAGGGACCAAAGGAAGAACTTCGTCTATATGGAAATCATTCTTTAGCTTTCAAAAGATTTGGTTACCGTATTTTCTGTAATAGTAGTGCAGTCTGTAATAGTAGTGCAATCTATAATAGTAGTGCAGTCTGTAATAGTAGTGCAGTCTGGAGGAGGCTTGAAAAAATAGTAGTGCGCACTACTATTACAGAAAATACGGTATTTGTTTGTTTCAGGTTATTTGGCTCAGCCAAATACTTACTTTTAAAGATTTGTTTTCTCAATTTCACTCACCCAATTTCTCATGTGTGTCCGAGATACAAACGAAGCGCACCTTGTGCTCGTGGATGGGCGAGTCTAATCTAAAAGCGTTGCTTTAACTTGACTGTACTTTACTTAACTAACAAACTAACAAAATAACAATTTGAACTTTTTCTTTTGCAGAATACGACCGATCATGTGATTCGGTGTGTTTGTCAAATTCCTTTCAACAATTTTTCAGTTTAACACTACTCGGCAAGTCATTTTTTAGCTGGCAAAAAGCGAGGACACGTAAAGTTCGAAACTTTTCGAAATTTTCTTAGAGATTTCGAGGGCCGATAGGAAAGGAGGATGGGATGAATGGAAGGGAAAGGGGACTGTCCTCTGCAAAAATCGATGAAAAAATGTGGATTGTGAAATTGTGAAAGAGAGATTTTTTTGAAGAACTGATACAAACTGATTGAAAAACTGATTGAAAGACTTTGCCTTTTCTTGGGAAAGGTTTAGGTCGTTTTTTAGCAAGCATCAGCACTTTGATTAGTCTCATAATTGTGAAAAATCAGCCTTGAATTTAGCCTGTAGACTCTTGACCAGAATGTTTCAAACGGGCTCTAGAGCCAGGCCAGGACTAGGCAAAGAGCTAGACCAGGACTGGTCAGGAGCAGAACCCAACAGTAAGTCAGGGCAGTTTTCCGGACTAATTGTAAGTCAAGCTAGACAGACCAGGGACATGCCTGGCTTCTGGCGAGCTATTTTGCAGGCTAGACCCGCAGCAAAGTCAAGCCAAGGCCTGGAACAACCCTACTCTTGAATCAAGAGTAGAGTTGTTCAAGAGTAGAGTTGTTCAAGAGCCTTGATGCTTTGTACAAGCTTGTATGTGTGATGTATCATGTGTGATGTATATGTATATAATTTGTTGCCCAATGAACTCAATTTTTCAAATGAATGAAATGAATTTGTCTGATGTTTTCGGTTCCAGAAATCCTCAGAAAACTCGAGTAGATGAGTATCTATTGCTCTTGAAATGATCTCGGGAAATGAGGGAGTGAGGAAGGTCATGAAATTTGAAAGATACTTGCAAATGGAAATGCAAGTAAAATGTGACGTCACTATTAGATAATTTAATAAATTTACAAGTCTAAAGGTTGATACAGGTAAAATCTTCATCATACATAGTAGTTTTATGTCAAATTTTTATCACTTTTCACTTCTCTAGCTCACCTGAGCGTCTTTGCCGGCTCCGATATTCTGCCTTGTCGCAAATATTTTTTCCAACATTCGATCGGTTTTGCCGTTAGTGGATCCACGAGAATATAATTGTCCATATTCATTTTGATCTGGTCACGACAAAGAAATTGGGAATTTCACCCAGATGAGAGGATCAATCGGTGGATTTTTTTTGGTTGATTGGCTCTGAAATTCGATGAGTAAAAAAAAGAGAAAAGAGTTCTTGAAAGAAAAGGAATTTTCGAAACAACAAAGATCACTTTAAGGATTGAAAAAAGGTGAAAAGATTTTTTGAGTGGTAAGAGCAAGGCAAAAACAGCAAAAACGGTTCTGTTTTCTCCACAAAATACAATGAGAGAGGAGATGGAAGGGTGGGGGGAGGAGAAGATAAAATCTGGAGGAGACTGGGTGCAGGAAAAGGAAAAAAGAGAGATGAATGAGGTGAAGGAGGCAGAGAAGATTGTGACTAAATCGATCACTATATATTTATTTATCTTTGTGAATATTTAAAATGAATATTTAGGTTTAAGTTTTAAGACCTTTAGAGCTTTAGATCTTTAGACCTTTAAGACAAATCTAAAACGATTTTTGAACGGAAATTTTCCAATTTTGCTGGCTACTGGCTGGTCAAAGACTGGTCTAGCTAGAAAAATTCAGCTACATTCCTATAAGAATCAATTGATAGATTGGTGAGAAAGCCAATTTTGCTGGCTACTGGCTGGTCAAGGTGGCATTAGTCTAAGGTCAAGCCAGGCCAGCAGCAAAGTCTGGTCTAGCTAGGAAAATTCAGCTACATCCTTATAAGAATCAATTGATAGATTGATGAGAAGAGATTCCACAAAATGTTTTCTATTTTGCACTAATGCTCTGCCTTTTGTACACGTCAACTGAAGCGACGCGTAGTCGTCAATTCAATTGTTTCTGTCTGTTCTTCTTTCTCTATGATATTGATTTCTATTTTGTTAGATAAATTGCTAACAGTTATAGCTGAAATAGCAATCCTATACCATTACGACATTCAAACATTCAGATATAACACAAATAAACTAATTGAAAATCATTTTCTGCTAGATTCAAATGAATAACCTGGAAGAAGAATTGATAAACAAAAAATGCAAAAAGTAAAAAGCTACAAGTTGGGGTTGAATGTTTTAAAACGGTTTGGACTTTGAAATTGATTCGATCAAGCTCAGAAAAATTTGTTCTCCCTCAAAAAAAATCAATTTCTAGGTGAATCCCCGGATGATAAGAGAAAGAAAAGGAAGAGAAGAGAAAAGAAATGAAAAAAAAAGAAATGAAAAGAAAGAAATGAAAAGAAAGAAATGAAAAGAAAGAAATGAAAAGAAAGAAATGAAAAGAAAGAAATGAAATGAAAGAAAAGAAGAGCGTCCCGATTGATCTTATGCCCTAATTTTGATGTGATGTGGTGGGTGGAGCAGAAAAAGAAAAGAAAAGAATGCGTCTTTTGCACAAAAATTTTCTTTTCATTGACTCGCATTCTTTTTGAATCTTCTAAACAACGTTTTCAACGAGGAAACGATTTTCGGTGGAGTATTTTGAAGAGGTTGAGAGCAAAAATCGTGATCGATCTCAAATAGGCAATGGGTTTTATTAGAAAAGAGGTTGCAAATTCTAATTCTTGAAATTTAGATAAAAAAGGCGAACAGTTGTCTTCTGAGATTTGTTTTCTAAAGTATTTTTCTCTTCTAATTTTAATCTTTACTTTTCAATATGATATTGAAATTAAGAATTCAATAGATTTATCTTTTTTTACGATTTTTTCAAATGATCCAAATTCCAAATGATCCAAATCCAAATCCAAATGATCCAAATCCAAATTCCAAATGATTCAAATCTAAATCCAAATGATCCAAATCCAAATCCAAATGATCCAAATCCAAATTCCAAATGATTCAAATCTAAATCCAAATGATCCAAATCCAAATCCAAATGATCCAAATCCAAATTCCAAATGATTCAAATCTAAATCCAAATGATCCAAATCCAAATCCAAATGATCCAAATCCAAATTCCAAATGATTCAAATCTAAATCCAAATGATTCAAATTCAAATCCAAATGATCCAAATTCAAATCCAAATGATCCAAATCCAAATCCAAATGATCCAAATCCAAATTCCAAATGATTCAAATCTAAATCCAAATGATCCAAATTCAAATCCAAATGATCCAAATCCAAATTCCAAATGATCCAAATCCAAATCCAAATCCAAATAGATTTACGATTTTTTCAAACGAATTTGAAGACTACTTATTCTAAATCCAGATTTTTTGATGAAAACATCTAAAAAGTGTTTAAAAAGTTTAAAAAAATGTATAAACCAATCTATTTTTGATGCCTAACTTCAAATGAAACTAAACTGAATCAACGTTGCACTAAATCTTGCTGATTTTCTCTCAATAGAGGTGAAAGTGTTGACTACACGGGATAAATCAACCTTTGAACCAATCCCATAAGCCTTATCAAAACGATAAGTCTCAATCATACTTTAAAAAATACAAGACAAAATACACAAATCTTTTGTCTGAATTGAATTTATTTATAAAGAAGAATTGAGCATCTGGTAGCAGTTTCCCACGCCCGTTCGGTCAAATCTTAGCCATTTAAGGCAGACAAAAAGGAGAAAGCGAAAGTCAAAAAACGCTTATTTTCAAATGTATTTCGTTTTCTTTTCTCATTTTTTTTTGCACAAAATTAGTTACATTTTAGAGAAAAGACATTTTTGAAGAACAACTTTTGGGCAGATTTGATGGGGAAATGTGATAAACTATCCGCGACACACAAAATAGACCAATTTTCTCACGATTTTGTGAATCGGAAAGGAATATAAAAATAATCTTGCGAAAAATGATCACAAAAAGATCATGAAAATATTTTCCTGTAAATCCAGGGGTTCAAAGGGCGATGCGGAATTGAAGGCCAATTGAAGGGGATTTTTTTTTTGGTACTGACTCTTACGCCCACCAATTATCTTTGAAGCTACCCGCCTCTATCTCTAGCTTTAGCTTGACTTGCAATAGCTTCTAGCTTTAGATTTTTGCAGCAATCCTGATTCTGATTCTGGCTTGGCTTTTCTACTAGTCTGATCCATAAAAGATCACTGGAATCGCCAGAATCCAAGCCTAATGCTTCTTTGGCTGATTAGAGCCAAAGAAGAACTCATTTTTAATGAAAATTTTAATTAGACTCAAGATAATATAAACTTTTCTAGGCATTAGCGTCTTTGTATTAGCATAAAAAGACGCTCACATTTCCATATTGCGCACAATTTGCATAAAAAGTCGCTCGTTTTTCATTTTAAAAACAATAAAAGTCATGTTTCTGTGTATTTTTTAAAAATATCAGAGAATTTGACGATCAGGTGGAAAAAAATGACTTAAAATGGATAAAAGACTAAAAAGTTTTTAGTTCTTTTTTATCTTCTGAGAGAATTTGTTTGTTTGTATGCTAATTTTAATATGTGAATTGGTAGGCGTAACAAATATCAATTTTTTTCTGCAAAACAAACAAATTGTACATCAGAAGAGCAAGAAAAAACGCATCTGACAATAGAAAAGAATTAGTATTAGCCTAGAAAAGTTTATATTATCTTCTAACTAATTAAAATTTTCATTAAAAATGAGTTCTTCTTTGGCTCTAATCAGCCAAAGAAGCATTAGGCTTGGATTCTGGCGATTCCAGTGATCTTTTATGGATCAGACTAGTAGAAAAGTCAAGCCAGAATCAGGATTACTGCAAAAATCTAAAGCTAGACGCTATTGCAAGTCAAGCTAAAGCTAGAGATTGATTTGGTTTGGGTTTAGCCTGGAAAATAGACCTAGAGATAACAGGTACAGTACCGGACAATGAAATATCATATTTGAAAAACGATCGTCACTTTCGCGCGTCTGTAACTCCCTTGTCTTTATCGTATTTCTAAATATTAATATTACCATTGTGTAGCCCTTGAAAAGAGCTTTCAGAAAATGTGTAACACTAATAGTTTTTAATCTTTAATCGATCGTCACTTTCGCGCGTCTGTAACTCCGTTGTCTTTGAGTTTAAACTATTAGTGTTACACATTTTCTGAAAGCTCTTTTCAAGGGCTACACAATGGTAATATTAATATTTAGAAATACGATAAAGACAAGGGAGTTACAGACGCGCGAAAGTGACGATCGTTTTTCAAATATGATATTTCATTGTCCAGTAGTGTAGGTTTTGACCATGTCAAGACAAATCAAGCAAGACAAATCAAAGCAAGCAAGCAAGACAAATCAAGTCAAGTAAAAATCTTCTGGCTTGACCCCGGAAAAAGCTTGGTTTTAGATCTTGCGAATAAGCGTACAGACTGGATATTTTTATAGTTCAGAAACTTTTTTATTTTACAGAACAATATCAAAACGGTTGATTTTCCAAAAACTCTATCATCTTTTGATTGATTTTTGGATAGCATTAGATGCATTTAATAAAAGTTCAATCATTTGTAAGTAGATTGGTAGCAAGTCGCCAAAAATAGGTTCATGTGGAGAAGAGAACTCAAAGAGGAGTCAGTTTAAAGGAGTCAAGTACTGTCTCCTTCATTCTTTCTCAAACTCACAATCAAGCCGGTTCCCCATTCCTTTTCTCTTCTTTTTTTTTCATTCTTATACTTTAGTGGTTTTGTTCTTCCCATTCACTGTACATACGGCAAATTGACGCCGAATTGGTTGCTGGTGAGTTCATTTTTTTAAATTCATAACCATAAATCAAGCAAATTAGTTAGTGTTTCAAAAAGTCTACCAAAAGAAAAAGCTTTAATTTAAAGCTTTAAGCTTTTAAAATCAAGTCATGAAGATTTCAAAGTTTAGCAAAAAGATCTTTGCGGATTCTTTTAGATTTCACAATGCTGTTCTAGGGTTTAGATGAGATTAGTGATCAATAAATCTTTGACAACCGGATACAATCATATATTTTTTCAATTGCACCATAAATGGGCCAGTGTACAATTTGAGTAACACGAATGGATAAGCAGAAGAGCCAGAAGAGAATTGAACAGCAAATGTTTAGGGAAATTTTGATTGTAGATAAAAGATGCAAAGATATACAATTAAACTCATGTGTG